CAGTGTGCAGACAGCTATTGTTAGACTGCTGAGGCATAGAGCATAAGCTGATCTAATACTTACCTTTTATATGTTCTATCAGTTCTGTTATTCTAGAAAACCCTATTCTACTGCCCATGGTTTCTGATCTACACAGGTCTTCGTTTTACCTGTCAGCATCGTTTCCTATAAGTAATACCTGGATGGAAACTGAGGGTGTCTTTCTTCATGGTCCATGTGTCTGGGCTGATTGCCTGGCAGCCTGCTCCTCCATGTGCTTTTCCAGCGGTCTGTCATTCCACCCTACAGGAGTCACTTGGTCAGCAAGTGTGAAATACGGTTCTGCAATACCAAGCTTCAGTTTTCTTTGTGATACCAAGGTCTAGCAACATCACTTAAGGGGATGCCAAGGGAATGTTTGTTCTTAGCAGACTGCAAACTGGGCAGCTTCAGACAGCAGACATTTATCTGTTCAAAGTTTGCCGTCAAGGTGTTGACAGGCTAGGCTCATCCCACTGATTCTCAGGGAGTATTCTTCCTGGCATCTTCTAGCTTCCTTCCCGAAGCTTTGGGTGTTCCCTGGCTTGCATCTGTGCCCCTCCCACCTCATTTTCTAGGCTACAGTTTTCTGTATGTATCTATGTTTCTCCCCATCTCTTCTAAGGCTACCAGTCTCATTGGATTAGGAGAAAATATAATTAAGCACAACTTCTCATCAACTCATTTCTATCTATGGAGTCTCTATTTCCCCATATGTTCACATTTGAGGACATCATTTGGGAGACACAGTTCAAAGCAAAGTACTAGGAAATACTTTGAGTTAATTGAGGAAAGGAGAGCTGTGGCTTCTTCACCTCCTACCTGCCCACATGCATGCAGGAATATCAGATACAAGATAGGCAAAGAATGCTATGGTTTTCAAAGGTTCTCTCAAGCCTCATCTGACCCAGTGATCCATGTGGGTAAGGTGAGATGAATAGCTTGAGTGAATTAGCCTCATGGGTCTTTCTTTTTGAGAGACCTCATCCAATCTCTACTTCACAAGTTCATTTCAACATCTGGTGTCTTAGAACGATGGGGGCAGGAGGCTCCTGAAGCAGTAAGCAATGGCATGATCCTGCACCTAGGGTTGAGAAGCCAGGTCAGTTCCCCAATACTGCTGGAAGTTCACCTCTAGATAAACTCTAACTTGCTCTCTTTCTTGACTCCAGCTTAGAATGTTAATTTCAGCACCTAAAAGCAGTTAGTATACCTGAGGCAGGTGTCCGTGCAGAGACACTTGCTACAATTCACGTAGCATGGTAATATACACAAGGTCAGTTAACTCATCTTAGTTACCTAGTTCATGATAGAAAACAGACTCAACCGTGAAGTGTCTTGCAGGGCATACAAGGTGTCTTTGCATTGCAAAACCTGCTTTCTCTTTGTTCCAGAAGATACTTGCTTCTGTCTCCCTCAGGTATGCTGAAACCTTCATCCTCACAGTGAGGGAATTTGTAGATGTAACCTTAGGCACTGGCTAGCTGAAGGTAGAGCCTTTAAGAGTAGGGATAGTGTCCTTTCTGTCTTTTCCACTGGAGGAAGTAGCAAAAAGACAAGTGTCTGAAATTCAGACAGGGATAGTCAATCAACTACCAAATCTGCACCCTGACCCTGGACCATCCCAGGCTTCAGACTAGGAGAAGGGTGTTGTTCCAGCTTCTAGAGTATCCTCATTGTCACAGCACAATTCCTGATTTTGCCTTCACCAGCTGTCTGGATACAGAGACATTTCTCTTTAGGGAGGGAATAAGACTTATATGTTCAAAGGCCCTGCTCAAATATGGTTGGATTACAATCAAGCTCAATGAAAGACAGAAACTTCATTTCCCCTCTGTTCTAATCCCCAGTCGAGAAACTATAGGAAGCATGCTCACAGTGGGTGTGAATGGGGAGCAGAGGTTTGGCAATGCTCCCATGTCTTGTACCAAATGGCCAATGTGGAACCATTTTAGGGTTTGGGATCCCTGAAATCAAATGTATACTTTGTCTTTTGATTTTCTACATGGCTTCCTTCCATTCGTTTAATTTCTTGAGTCTCACTATACTCATTTGTGCAACTTCCTACCCACTTTTAAAGGCTGCATATTCACGGAGAAGGTGTTGCTTTCTATTTTGATCTCTCCTCCATCTCTAAGTGGACCTTGCTCAGGGTTTGGTTTCCCACAGTGATGTCATATACACCTGGGGATTAATTTGTACAGATATAATTAAAAACATTCAACAAGGGCCACGTGTGCGTTTCAGCCCATGAATCTGGCTGTCCTGGCTCTTCTTTGCTGTTGAGACATGAGCAATGACCAGACTTGCATGCATGGAAATATTGGAAAGCCACAGATGATGAACAAAGATACCTGAAGGCATTTATGAGTAACTGCTGTTCATAATCATTACAGATTAACACTTGACATGCACTGAATGTTGGCCACAAGGCTTGCCACACACAAGGATGAGCTGGCAGAGAAGCCCTTGGTAGAGATGATCTTGGACTGTGGAGAGAACTGTGCTCATGACAAGAAGCACTTTTGTTGTGGAGGGCGCGCCACTTAAAAGCACCTACATATTTGGGCCTCCAGCTCACTCTGTGTCTTCTGCTCACTCTCAGAGCGACTCTGGTCTCTTGTAGGTCTGGCTCACTCTGAACCTTGGCTGTTTTATAAAGGAAAAAAAATTAAGGGATTGGGCTTGATCAGTGGTTTTCAAACATGTTTCAGTCTGTTCAGCAGGTAGAGCAAAGTACTTTTGACTGTAATTTATAAAAATTTCTAACAGTTTCTGAGGCTGGGAAGACCAGCCTCTATCAAGGTATCAATAGATTTGGTGTTTGGGGAATGTGATCACTACTTCAAGAGTGGACCTCTTGTCATACCCTTACATGGGGCTCCCTTAAACCTCTTTCATCAAAGGACTAATATTATTTCCAAGGGTGGAATTTACATCTTAATTGTTTCCCTAAAGACCCCAAATATTAATATGACTCTTCAAATAGCACAAACACTCACAGAAATAAAACCTGTTTCCAACTGCCTGAACCCACATTAGAACTCTACATGGAAAGTTGGTCCAAGAAGACTCTTCTGGTAGGCATATGCTCTCATTGTGGCCCTCTCCCATCGCCTCAAAGAGATTCAATTCCAGCACCACTCCCCACTCAAAAGGATTCTGTGTCCCCCTTTGTTGATAGCAGTAAGGGTTCCCATTGCATCCTGGCCTAGCATTAAACCCTTGACACAGCTTAATTAAGTCACCTCTAAAAATACCTTTGGTCCTTATAAAAATTAAAGTGATTTGCCAAGTTCCAGCTATATGAAAGCAGGGATCCAGAGCCTGGGCCTGCCATCACCCATGCCTCCACCCTCAGTCCTCCATATCCCAAGCTTTTTGCCCTGTCCCAATGGGATGTATCATATATCCATAGGTGTCATAGCCAAAGGTGTTTGAATAAAAGCTTTCTGCTGCCCAAGTCTCCAGGTGTGTGTGTGTGTGTGTGTGTGTGAGAGAGAGAGAGAGAGAGAGAGAGAGAGAGAGAGAGAGAGAGAGGATCTTGCTGAGTCTAAGCTTCCATAGAGGAGGACGTTCAATTTATAGAGGTTCAGGATGTGTTCCAGAAATCTGAGCATCTCCAGCAGCCATACAGGCAAAGATTTGATACAACACCATTCAGACAGGCATTCTTTGGGCAACAGGCCCATTTCTGCTTAATCACAGGCAGCGAGGGAGCATCAGAATCGGATCAGCCTCTGTGTGGCCCTGCCAGAGCTTCCCGGTTGTCTTCTAATGAAGTGAATCTTAGAGTCTTGGGATTGGAAGAAAATGTGACAGCTTATGTGACACAAATCACACATCCATGAGCAGTTACTAGGTGTCTTCATTCCTCCAGTGGTGTTAGACTCTGGGCCAGCTGCTGGCCAGGTGTTGAGGACACAGGAATGATTGTCTTTCAATTATGAGCAACCTAAAGTTAGAAAAACAGGTCCCATTGGCTTGAAAGTCTCTGATTCAGCCATGTCCCCCTGTGTATCATAAATCCATCTTTGGGAGGACACTGAAGTGCTCTATAGCCAGATGACATTAATGGTGACAACTCAAATAAGGGTCTTAAGACTCTGCACAGGCTTCCTTCTGCATATTGCTGCTGCTGCTTCTTCTTTTGTTCCCTTATCTCAATCTTTTTTCCAGGTGCCTCTCCTCCCAAAATTCCTCCTGAAGGACCTGAACAGGTAGGGTCCCAGCACAGAAAGCATATGTCCATGATTTCCATGTGTGCTCCAACCCTGCCACATCTTTTTTTTTTTTCTCACTCTATCTCGTGGATCTAATGAACTGAAGGTGTTTATGGGATGTCTTGGGTCAGGAATGAGCCCCTCCTAGCAGATATCCTGGTGTTCTGCACAAGGTAGTCAATGGATGGTTGCCTGGAAACCTTATTTAGCCCTGGCAACCCATGCATCTTAGAGAGAAGGGTAATTGGGCAGATATCAGTTGCTAGAAATTGGGTCTTCTTGGATATTGAGTACTACAAGGCATAGCGTTCCCCAGACATCACATGGGAGAAGGTACTGAGTTGTAGGGTAGCCCAGATAATTCTGGGGTGACTGTTGCACTCCCTGAGTACCTCTGCTCTGGCATCCCAGGCAAAGGGCTTGAGACTAAACAGATTGTCACACAGCGGTCCCATATCTAACACTACGGGTCCTTTCATCCTTGACACGATGCTTACTTGCCTGTCTGAGAAAAAAACACAACTATAAGAGGAGCATAATTTATCGTTCCCAGGAGTGATATGGTGGATAACTGTGAGCTGCCACATCTAGATTGGACAGTCCCAATTCAATGAGGTAGCTAGCTCTGATGAATCCTGATTTGACTGGAAAGATGCATATCAGGAGAAATTATAGATGTCTTGTTTGGCACGTGATGGCCACAAAGATATTGGCAGAAAAAAAAAATCCTCTTCTAGACCCCAGACTTTTAGTTAAATACGCACAATTTTATTGATTGAAGAGATTAGGACAAAAACATTAAAACCAAATACAGGACAAAGCACCAGAGGCCGTTCACCCCCACCATGCATGTCAACAATCTCTCCTCCCACCCAGTACTTAAAAAACAGGGGAGAGGGCAGAGAAAAGGTCCTTCTTGCCACAGCACCGTCTTCCGAGTGTAAAAACCCTCTCTATGAATCTTCCATTATCAAAATAGAATCAAGGGGAAATCCACGGCAGCTTTGTCTCCTGATTATGAACGGGGAAGCTGCCCTCCTGGGGACAGGGGCTCCAGTGGAGTAGGCGTGAAGCATTGAAGAGTCCGCACACACATGCCACATACGAGAGTGAAGAAGCACAGATTCAAGTAACATTTACATACTAGAGTCCACGTGTTACCTACCCAAGAACAGGACCATTTCACAAAAACATATGCAGGCAGTAAAACCCAAACGACTGAGGTACTGGGAACACAAATATTTAGGCCAAAAAGAGTTCTGTATCATACAGCAATAGAAAAGCCAGAGTACAAAAGGAAAACATTTTGCCACTTGAAATCAAATAAGGCTATCTAGAAAATAAGCCAAATAAAAGGTTATTCCGGGGACAGAAATACTCAAACAGGGGAACAAAATTATAAATGTTAACTACAGCATGTAACATGTCATCCCGTCGACCCGTAATTGAAGTACTGGCTTAATACATCACAATGTGACATTTTCCTTAATAAATACAAGAGTTCTTGAAAATACAAAGGTGCGTATTGGGACAGAGAGCTGTTTGTATGTATACCATCCTGGCTACCAGCTTATTGCCCATTCACTCTTTCTGTTCAACCCGAGGGCCTTTCCAAGCCCAGAGGATCATTCTTTGAAAAGAAAAGGAAATAGCTGCCCTGTATTTTATACACATGGGACAACCTGTCTCATTTTACTAGTTTCCCATAAAGCAAAAACAAAACGTTGAGATCAGCATCATCAAAAAGATCTGACTCCAGGAGGAGCCTGCCCTCTGAGACCCACCTTACTGTTATTCGGAGCAGAGAGCAATGTCTGGGGTGTGAGCCTTTTCCTTCAAAAGAACAAAGAACCAGAAAGGAGTTGGATTGTTCTCTTTTCCTTTCTTTTCCCCTGGACTGATAATACATCTGGAAGTTTGACTTCTAGTAATTTCCTGTTACAAAAACCAACTGATACAAAACAGAGATGTCTGTTATAGAACAGATTTCCCACTGCCTCCCGCCTCAGGGAGCAAAGCATTAATATGCCACTTCCTAACCAGAATAGGAAATCATTTATTTAAAGGAATGAGTTGAAAAGTGTGAATGAAAGACGACAACTGGAACTTTTGTTTTCTTTTAGTTTAGCACCCGGGTTTCAGGTCAGTCTGTGCGCACCGAATTATTATTATTTTTTAGGTGAATCTTATTAATTATTACGTAGGTGGTTGCCTGTTCAAAAAAAAAATCTTTGATCAATTGTCCCTTCCCTGAATCATAACAAGAAGTTAAATGCTAACAGTGCAATGCCAAGGTATGTGTTTGAGGCAGAAAAGTTTCAATTCTATCGAGATCTGCAACTATTTCTAAACAAAATGAAAAGCGGGGTAGACCAAGTATCCCTACTGACTGGTAAGGGGGACTCTCAGGCTGCCCCAGGGAAGAAAAGCTTAGGGGAGAGGCTTCCGTCCATCTGAACCCAACTGAACCCAACCCCCATCCCGCAGGTCTTGTTCCCATGCTACGTGTTCAGGTGTTCAGTCAGCTCCTAGAATGTATTCCTCCTCTGAACCAAGAAATGTATAAATACGAGTGTCCGTCTTGCTTCCCAGCCAGGCCACCTGTGTCCCAGAACTCCTTTCTGGGGCCCTCTCTTGCTCCTGGTACCTGCTAAGTGTCTGTGGGCCTAGAGCTCAGTTAAAGAAAGGGTCCAAGTTCTCCTCCATGTTGACGTCTGGCACCAGCTGATCACACGCCTCTTTAGCACCAAATCCCGAATTCGAGACGCTAAAATCTGTAGAAAACCAAGGATGGTCCAGAATTTCCTGCGAGGTCAGCCGCTCTGAGGGCTCCCGTCGCAGGATGCTTCGGATGAGGCACTTGGCCTTGGGCGACAGAGTCTCTGGAATGTTGAACTGGCCCCTGCGGATCTTACTGAAGAGGGAACTGGGCTCAATGTCATGGAAAGGGTAACGCCCAACCAACATGGTGTACAGCATCACCCCCAGGCTCCACACGTCCGCTGCCTTGCCCGAGTAACTGCCACTGGTGTTCAAGATCTCTGGGCTGACGTACGCTGGGCAGCCATGCTTATCAGAGAGGGAGTCATCATCACCCCGGAGAATGTAAGCGTCTTCCAAACTCTCCAGCTTGACACGAGTCCTATAGAAAAGAGAGAAAGGAAGGTGATCCTAAGGATGAGGGAGACATCCATTCAGCAGTGTATCCCGGATGCTGCTGTTTGTTCATTCATCTATCCATCTACTCACTCAAGTAACCAGCAGGATGTTTGTTACTCATGGGATACAAGATTAAGGCTGGGGGGGTTTGAGCAAGTTCCTTGAAGCCTTTTGGTTGGAAAACGGACAAGAATTCCTTGGTTTACCTTCTAGTTCTTTAGCTGTACCCCTGGCTTCTCTTTAGGACACAGGCAGAGTTGGGAACAATTTTTGTACAAGTGGTCTCTACCACCTACTCCATGAAAAGCCTATCTTTATTTTCAGATTTTCACCTAACCTACCTGTCACACTCCAAAACCCTGGGGTCCTTTACCTGGCAGCTATCACTAAATATAGGTGTGTGACTCACATGTGACTGCGTGCCTGATTCATAGGTATGACAAAAGCAGTGTGACCCCAAGAGACTTTCCAGACTATTTGTCCCACCCCACCCCCCACTCCACCAGCTCTTCAAGGACTCATGAACTTATCCATACCAATGTGCAAGCCCTAGATGTGCTGGAAGAGGTGGAGAAATGAATATGAAATTCTGAGGCTCTAACCCCTAACTTATACCATTAACATGACCAGCCTCCATGGTGTCATCACTGAGTGTGAGATAAAGACAAACACAGTTAAAAGAAAAAAACTGGGAAATAACTTCTTTCATCAGTCATATTAATGCAAAACACACTGCAGCCAGGCATGGTGATACACCCCTGTAATCACAGCTCTTGGGAGGCAAAGGAATGAAGACCGGGAGTTCAAGGTCAACCTCAGCTACACAGCAAGTTGGAGTTTCATGACACTGGCAAACATACTGCTGCTGAGTGTTTGGAATGAAACCCCTTCTTTCATCTTTCAGCCAGAGCAGAGCACTGCCCTTTGAGTGTGTGGTTCCCACCACACTCTTGGAGTCCTGCTAACAAGGTAGCTAAGGACAGTTGGAGCTGGAGCTGGGACTCAGGAACACTTGAAAGGCCTACAGAATCACATCTACAGGTGCACACATCCAGGCCTCCACCCTGCTTGAGAGCACAAGGCAGGAAGCTCAAATGAGTAACTGAAAGTGAGCAGACTATAGGAGGCCACCTTGGTCATCACTCAGAGCCTGTGGTCCAAGGCCATCTTCCTCTCTGTGCCTTCGGGGCTCAACTCCCAGGGGAGCTGAAGCTGCTGGGAGTTCTCTATAGATGAGGGGATGACAAAAGATGGGTTGCTTCTAAGATCTCCTATGCGCTATGCAGGTCGTAGGGATCCCAAAAATCAAGCAGTGATTGCTTTCCTAGACAGGGTGATCTGTGGGAGTGTGGACTCTAAGCCAGGCTTCATCTCTCACCAGCTCTGAGGCGTCAGCTAGTCACTCAGCCTCCATGTTCCTCAGCTTTAAAGAGGAGCACTGGAAAAGGCAAGGAGTGTATTTCTGTTGTTTGGTTGGTATTTATTTATTCATTTATTTGAGACAGGGTTTCTCTGTGTAGCCTTGGCTGTCCTGGACTCACTTTGCAGACCAGGCTGACCTCAAACTCAACAGAGATCACCTGCCTCTGCCTGTTTGAGTGCTGGGATTACAGGTGTGTGTGTGCCACTGCACCCGACTGATTTTTTTTTAAATTTTAATGTAGTAAATTTGATACTAAATAAAATCCACCTTCATAACCATTTTTGAGCATTTATTTAGTTCATTCTCATGATGCCCTCCAATCATCATGCATCCATCCACACAACGCCTTCCCTGTGCCAGGCCTACCATTTCATTATACACAGCAACGTGTATTTTTCTCTGCCACTTGCTCAGCCATCCTCTAGAACAACCCTACCACACGCATGGTTTCGAATGCTCCTGTAACTCATGGCCTACAAAACTAAGAAGTCTCTAGCAGTGTTAATCTGGAATTGAACTGATTAAAAACAAATCTTTCTCTCTCCAGCTTACTTCTCCTAATAGGAGGTGACAGGTGGCAGTGACCCACACACTAGTCTCACCAGATGTTCAAATTGCCCAGAGAGGAGCCTATGAACTCAGAGGGAGGGAGGAGATTTTGAGTCATAGACACAAGGTCTCCTCTCCATAGCTCCTCCACCGTACCTCATCCTTAAAGAGTGTTCCTGGCTCTTTCCTTGGGGAGGGGGAAGACACCAAACTGACTCTACCCCTAGCTTCCTTGGCTTGCACAGTAGTTTCTGTAGCTATGAACTATAGCTTTGGAAGTAATTTCTACCAATGTACGAATGGTTGCCAGTTCAGGAGGAAAAGTTTAAGTCTTGGAGACAGAGGTTCAGGTTGGGGCAGGACTCTTACGACACATCCCTCTAGGAGTGTCTCAGGTCATCCACAGGGAGGCCAGTGTCCTTTTCCTGGCTGCTGATTGATCCCACAATTGTATACCCATCCTCCAAGCATATTCTGTGTTGTTTGCACACTCTTCTCCTTGCCTCAAAAGGCAATGTCTCATTCAGTCTCACTGGATATCTGTCTACAATCTTTCCTGCTTAGAATGTTCTTCCACTGATGCTGATGTACATTTTTCACTGTAAGCATGTCTCTGCTTAAATGAGTGACATGAAGTGGGCCTCACCTGTGTACCCCCACACAAAGCAGCCCAGCAGCTCCCAACAGCCTCCGTGGAACTGCTCATTCTATCTACATGGTTTGCTATTCAGAACCCATAAATCACTCAGTGGTCCTTTGGGATGACCCCTGACTTCCTCACTGCCAGGAGCTTGTGGAAGCAAAACAGAGTCACTTTGGACATGGAGGGAAAAAAATCTACTATCTGTTGCTGCTGTGGCTTGCATGCCTCGAACCACTACTGGTGCCAAGTGGCTTATATGAATGACACAGACAAGCAGGTGTTAACTATGGGAGTTTCAGCTCTGCTGTAAAGGAACAATAGGCCCAGTTCTCCTATCTAACTAGAATTATGCAGAAATCACGACAGGCCTATAAGCCAGGAATGTGTTGGGGGAGGGAGAAAGTGAACAGGGTTTCAGGGAATGGACCTCTGGCTCCACCTTGTCAGGACACAGCCTCTCAACTCCGCACTTTATGCTGAGCCAAATCTTCAAGTCTCCAGTCTGGTCTCTCTATCTCTTGCACATTGCAACTGTACATTCTGATTCTTTGACTCCTAGCCCCAGAATTCAAAGCGCCCTGAGCCCTCATCATGGAGACCTGTGTGTGGCCCCATAATTAGAGCTTCAGACTGTAGCCAGGGCCACCACCTTGTCCATTAACATTCCCCCAAGTGAAGCTACTCTTTCTCTCTCCAACCTCAAGACAAGATCTCAGAAACTGTGCCGATGCTTAATGAATCAGAATAAAATTACTAAAACCACTCGCCTGCTGCTGATGGGGGATGCTCCTGGCCAGTCTACAGGGAGCTTCACCCTCCTTCCATTTAACAGCAGTTCTTAACCTGTAGGTCACAACTCCTTTGGAAAACTTCTATCTCTGAAAATATTTACATTATAATTTATAGCAGTAGCAAAATTACAAATTATGAAGTAGCAATGAAGATTAACTTTACAGTTGGAGGTCACCACAACATGAGGAGCTGTATTAAATGGGGGCAGCATTAGGAAGCTTGGGAGCCACTGTTTTAGTGTCAAGGGCTGTGTTAGGCAAGGTCTGAGGATGCAGTGGGGAGGGACTGGGGGTACAGTGGGAAGGAGCTAGAGCTTCCTGGCTATTTCATATGCTGAAGCCAATGAGCTATCCCAGGAACCAGGGCAACCCAGATAACAAAGCATATAATGGAGTCAGCTTCAAACTCAAGTTTATTCTTTAAAAAATACTAGGTACCAAGCTGTCATAAGTCATCTGTTTCCTTTACATTATGACATAAGCTAGTAAGCTGGGTATATGATTTTTCTGTGTGTGTGTGAACCAGAAGCCCTAGGACCCTAGGCTAAGTCAGTCAAACACCAGGCAAGGCATATGGGGCCTGGCTGCTCACTCTTCCCAGTGAGCTGATTCAGCCACTGACACTCAGAACCATGGATTGAGGGAGGCTCCATGCAGGTGGACATAGCCAGCTTTTACTTCCTTCCCTAGCATCAGCATCCAAGGCAGGACATGGGAGAGGGAAAGAGTATCCTGGAGACAAGATGGAGAAGAAATGCAGCCCCAGACCTCGCTCCTTTCAGAAACATCCTTGGCTTGTTTATATCACTCCTAACAAGGATTGAGGCAAGTGGTCTGGATTCTCTCTTCAAACACTGATCTTCTAGAATGTTCTCCATGTGCTGGGACATGGGGGAAGTGAGACAGGAGGCTTGGGCTTCAACCCCAGTGCCTGAGGTCCTGTTGTACAACCACAGAAATTACAGGGACTCCAAGCCTGACCCTCTGTCTCCTCTCAGAAATGGAGCCTCTTTTCTCATGACTGAGCATGGGGAAGGTACATTCACAGGCAGAGATAGGAGTAGACATGAAAAAATAGGCTTCTGAAGTCTCCTAAACAGTCTGGAGCGGGGGGATGATGAATTTCCCTGGCAAAGGAGTCGATTTCCATAAAAATCAACAAGAGCATCTGTGGACCTGGTGATTCAAATAGCCCACTAATCATTCAGGCATTTAAAAGACGTTCAGGAGCACTCACTCCGCTTGAGCTCCCAAACTAGGCACTAGGGATATGTCCATGATATTTAAGGCAACACCATCCTCTCTGTTTTGCTGAAGATTAAATGAAAGTAACTCAAGACAGGATATCCCAGGGAGCCCAGTGTGGAAGAACTGCCTATAACATGATGGCAACTACACTGGGATCCTATTGTTAAACTGCGGCTCCCATCCTCAGTGCCAGAGCCTAGTGTTGCAGGCAGGCAGAGAAGCAAGTGTAAATGCAAGCATGGGCAGATGGGACTAGTGGAGATGCTGTGCCTATACTCTTCACTGGGAACTCTGCACTTGTTCATTCTTTGTTTGGGATGTTCTTGCCT